TGTCACGCCAGACAGTGAACGTGTTAATAAGTAAATGTTGTTGAAATTATGTTGTGTTTTATGTCATTTTCATCAGAAAAATCTCACGAATATGTTAAGAAAAATTTCGGGATAAAAAAACGTAAAATTAAAAAAGTTGATATTTAAATCGCTTGGTTGCCTGGACTCACGTTTCATTCTTATCTTTTATTCGTTGTCCTTGTCTTCGTTCGGCAAACTACAAAGGCGGGCGCGAAGCTCGAAAACGTAGTCCCTGACTCTACGAGTGTCAGGTTTAGCTTCCTTGCGGTTTGACACTTGTGGAGAATATAATGTATTTGGGAGCACTAGATAGTAAGCATCTCGGTGTTTCAGTTTTTTGGATACCAGATTTCCAATATTTTAATTTGCTAGATGTTAGCCGCCCCAGAATTTTAATTTTCCAAATATTAATTATCCCAGTATTTTAATTTGCTAGACGCAATATTTTCATTTCTAAATACTAGGTACCAAGGTATTTTAATTTAGCACTTACTGAATATCCCAAAATACGTTTTCACATAATGAAAATTTCCTGTATTACCTTTACCCAAACACTATCAGGTATATACGTAATCAGAAAATTTCCTGTAATTCTAGTGCATTCTTCCTTTCCACTATACACTTTAGATTTTTGGGTGAAAAAGGTCTCAATTTCTATTACCAGCGCGTTACGTGAACCTACGCAATAAACTTTCAATTCACTAAATGAAAATTTCCTGTATTACCTTTACCCAAACACTATCAGGTACGTAATCAGAAAATTTCCTGTAATTCTAGTGCATTCTTCCTTTCCACTATACACTTAAGATTTTCGGGTGAAAAAGGTCTCAATTTCTATTACCAGCGCGTTACGTGAACCTACGCAATAAACTTTCAACGTAGCGTTAAGAGAATATAAACTCGATAATTAAAAAAAATAAGAAGGCAATGGGTCGAAAAAGACCCGAAGGCCGCACCAGGTTTAATCGTGAAAAACATTTTCCTCCAAATTTCCTCACTTTGAAATACCACGTAAATACACATCTATAATACCTATCGGACACAGTGATCCAGTGCAGATGATCCGGTATGAAGCATATCGAGAGCGCTGTATACAATTAACATTAAGGTTGACCTCATCGTTATTCGCGTTAAGCTTGACAGAGTGGTCTCTCCATCGGTGTAGAGACGATAGGTGGTTGAGGATAGAACGACAGGTATATTCGAAAACGGCCTTAGCAGTCTGTAGAACCGACGTCCTGTGCTGCGCATATCGGTTCCGAACCCCCTATGACGGAAAATAATGAAAGTAATGGGAACACGCCCACTGCATTTAGCCCGCGCTCAGCTACCCCCCTCGGCTTCGACTCTCCCTTCCTCCCTCCACACCCCCACATTCTGTACACCATCCGTTCACCTCTCCACCTCACCTTCCACTATCTGGGGTTCTCTAGGCTTCTCTCTGTACTTGCCGCCTTGTTCATTCTCATCCGTCCTCTAGGCCCCATTGGCTATTGTAACTGCCACTTCATTGTCCTTTATTTCATTATTTTCGCCGCATTCCGGTCTCCCTTTTGCCCGGCAAGGGGTGCGAATTTCTCTCCCTTTATTTACGGCACCGTAATAACAGACGTCTTAACGGAATCTAATAAACGTCATAAATGGGCCCACCATGATCTTATTAGTTTACGAGATGCTTACTTCTCTCTCTCTCTCTTTTTATATACCGGTACAACTTTGTTCCAGAACGACAAAAGCTCGTCCTCGTAGTAATATCACCGAACTTTGTACGTACTACGGACCGTCTCTCGAGTCGTACATCAAAGAGAACCGTTTTGTACGTGTGGATTATGTTCGTACGCATGCTGCATTAAGGTCGGCTAAGGTGCGTCGAGATATTGGTACTGGCTGGTAGAGATGACGGTGGTGGAGGTAGGGTGACGTTATTGAACGTGATCTCGATTTTTGGATCTTTTTTTTTCTTGTGTTTTTTACGCCGAAAGGTAGATAAGTGGATAGTTGTGTGATGGAAGAGTGGTGGTTGTTTTTACGCAGAGGGGAGGAATGGGAATTAGTAGCTTGATTGTTTGAAAATTGTAGTAATTAAATGGTGTAAATGTGTGGAAAAAATATTTTCAATATTCTCATCGAATTTCAAGTTTTACGTGAATTATACGTGAAAGTAATAAAAATTACTGTATCGATTTTACTCGAGCAGAGTGAAATGCCTGGTAGATCTCAATTGTGCTTTAAATCTGTTAAATAGGAAAGACAGGTTAATTCGTTATTTCACCTTTTTACAGAAAAGGTTTCTATTACGAGTATTTCCTGAAATATTGTCGGATGCACTCAAAGAAAACAGTTTAAACTACCTAAAATAGTAGTCTAATTCCAGCAACCCTCGTGTTGACGCAGAATTTACCCAAGCGTCATCGTTGCACCCTACATTGTCGCGAACCTCTTATCAGATCTCAGCTATCTTCCATCTACACCCAAAGAACTCAAATTTCACATCTCAACTCATCGTCCTCCGTACCAAAACTCCGCAAAATATACGTCAGAATCTACCTACCCCAATTACTGAAAAACCAAAAAGAAAGAAAGATAAACTTCCACGTCTAATCGAGCAACTGTCGCGTATCAACGCAGAATCAATCGAAGAAACACGATAGTAACCGGTGTACCCGATTTTCTACGCAAACCACCGTTGATCCTTCGTACAGATTTGAGAATGTGCACCGTGATTTTGCCTCGATAATACGATTACAGACCTCTGTGTGTGCACCTCTCTCTCTCTCTCTCTCTCTCTCTCTCTCTCTCTCTCTCTCTCT